GGGTGTATAAAATCCCTTAAGGTTCAGGGGGATTTTGTTTAATTTACCATTAATTTCATTAGGCATATGTCATTTACCTTTCGTGGTAATGAGCAAGAATGCTTCCTGCTTCTTCTCAGGATGCAGCTGTGACCGTGTTAGGTACAGTGCCAAGTCTAGTGAAAACCTGGAAGAGTAGCAATTGTATGGAAGGGCTTGATTGGACAAAGATTAGGTATATTGGAACATGAATTATCTGCTCACAAATTGTTTCCCTCCGAAACTTCGGTAGTTAAAAGTTTAAACTTCTTGCAGAACATTTGCTTCTAGTGGAGAAGCTTCTAATGTTGATGATGACCTATGGCTTTCTTCAAGAGCATTTTATAGACCTATTATTGAAATCTGTGGAGGGACTGAGCTTGCTGCTTCATACTTACAAGGAAGTGCTTTACAACCACAAGCTTTTGGAGCATTCAGCACACCGACAATGTCGACAGGCTTCGTAATTTTCGATGATGAAGGAATTCCTTATGTGAGTTTCGAAAATTTTGTTTCTGGTTCAAACCCTTCTTTTGGACTTTAACTGGTTTTACTTTAGTTTTCACAAATGCATGGCAGTTGGATAATCAACCTTGTATTGGAGAAGTGGGTTTGTTTCCTTTATTCATGGGTGCAAGTGATAGATTGCTCAATGCTGATCACAAAAAGGTCTACTTCGATGGAATGCCAGTTTATAGAGGAATGGTACTTATGAAATTCCCTTTCTCTATTTGAGTTCATGCCCTATTTATTTAGTAATTACAAAGTGATTTCATTTTTAATAAGCATAGATATGCTGGCTTATTGTCTTTATTTATTTTTGTTAGGGAATTGAATGTTAGTTTCCTTCTAACTAATAGGCACAAGGATTCAAGTTGTCTTGATACGCTAGTACACTCCATGTATCTTGATACTGTTAAGTATCGGATCGTCATTTCTAACTCTATAATTTCTCTCAGGCAGTTGAATTCTTTCCTAGAAAAATAGGAATTTAGTTCTTTATCATGCAAAAACAAGCGCTTGATTAGTTTTATTTACCTGGAACATCAAACACCTGGACATTTTGGATATATGTCCAAGATAGGTTGACCAAGTATTTCCTGCTGTCATTAATGAAAACATAGTTATGCTGGCATCAGATAATTCTAAATCAAAAAAGAGTGTACTGTGTTTTATGAGCTCTACAGTCGTTTCTAACTATATATTTCCATCTTTGACTAGCCAGCAAACCTAAGTTCAATGATATTTAAAAAAAAACAAAAATCTGCAATCGTAATTCTAAACCATGATTTCCATTATAACTTGGAAATGCAGCAGAATACACGCGTTTGAGAGAAATTTCAATAACCAAGTTTATTGACATTTCTCCTTGCAGAAACTCAGACGACACGGAGATATAATCCGACGAACAGTAGGTGGCTACTACATCGTACAGGGTAGAGCGGATGATACCATGAATCTAGGAGGCATCAAGGTCAACTCTCCATCCATTTTTATGCATGTCGAAAAACCTGTAACATAGGGACAAGTTCAGTGGAGATTGAACGAGTATGCAATAGAGCTGATGAGAGAGTATTGGAGACTGCTGCAATAGGCGTTAGGTTCAAAATTGGAGGACCAGAACAGTTGGCAGTGCTGGTGGTCTTAAAACCCGGACCGTCAAATTGTAAACCAGATCTTTTGAAGGCAAAATTTCAGAATGCTATTCAGAAAGATCTCAACCCTTTGTTCAAGGTATCATGCAAGGAAAGAAAGAAAAAAGAAAAAAAGAAAACACACGCATATGTAAATGATGCTGATCTTGTACTGAAGGAGTTATTAATTTGATTTCCTTATTTTTATGGTTATAGGTGAGCTTAGTGAAAATTGTGCCTGAATTTCCTCGAACAGCTTCCAACAAATTGCTGCGCAGAGTTCTAAGGGATCAATTGAAGCAAGAATTTTCAACTAGCAGCAAACTATGATTCCACTGCAAAGTCTTTTGATGGATGTATTCTGATGGCTAGTGGTGTTATCGTTATAGATACAGCCATACAGTCACCATGAGCTGAATGAGATTTAGAATGAAAAGCTATCGTGCTTGCAGTAAAATTACAGAGACATTGGGAACAAAGAGCCCTCAAAATTGTGTAATAAGATCCAGGCAAATAAGATATCATGGTCACAGTACTTGCAATTCCGCATAATTATTGTATTATCTTCAAGTTCTAATTTTCAGTGAGTCGGACAACATCATGCCTCGCTTGGCATGCAATGGAAAGTAGAAGTACATAAAAAACCGCAAGCTCCCATGAGGAAATCCTACAAAAAGCTCACCTCATCTCAAAATTTATTTTCCAAATATCTCTATCCATAATCCCCAGTTTGACACTACCACCTGAAAGTTCCCTCAAATAGAGGGGGAAAAAACGTTCATCATTCAGAAAACAATAGATGAACTTAACAACTATTGTTTATAAATATACCAGCTCTAGGCCGATCGTCCTTTTCCATCAAGGAAAAAAATCAGAACCAACAAAAGGACACACGTAATACAAACAGGATCAAGCAATTGACCTATTTAGATTAGCAAAAAGCTTGTCCATCTCCAGAAGATCAGAGAAGAAACTGCTTTACAGATAATTAAAGAACAAGAGAGCAGCAGCCAACGACCGACTGTTGGAGACATTTAAAGGGATATTGATTCTCTGAAACTGGTATGGAAGCCTGCATATAGAGTGCAAACAATCCTAAGTTCCCAAAACCAAACTAAGACACTAAATTATTCACATTACTCCCGATTCATATGACATTATAAAAGCATGAAGATTTAAAAGAACATCAGGTGAAAATTCAGGGCACCTTCCAGATGTTTCTCCATCACTGACTATATGAAAGGAGACAACCATCTCATCTCTGAACCATTTCCGTTGGACAAATAATAGATCTTTTTCCATTTATCTTCTGTAAAACTCTCCTGTCGTATGAGTTTTTGCCTGTGGAAAAATAAAATGTCAAGTTGCAGAGAAAAGCAGCAATAAACACAGTAAAGTAAATATATGTCAGCTACAATAGTTTTCTTTCCAGTGCAACAAAATACATCACCGGAAAGTTACTGTTTCAATTAAGGTAAAGAAGAAAACAAGACAGTTACACAGGATATTTAATAGAGTGATTCGTAACTATAAAAAAACTACTCCATCTCCTAAGACAAATTGAGCTCCAATGCTTTAGACTGCTCACGGCCTTGAGGTTACAGCCAAAATTAAATATCCAAATATCAAAACTGCAAAGCAGGTTTTAGTCAAGTTGCGAATTCATTCTACTTTCTTCCATTATAGTTTTAATGTGTGTCGTAGACTACTAACCAAATTTCGATAATGTACTTGATCTAATGTACTGGAAACTTGTGCCAAGGGGGGAAAAGATATGATGAGGTCAGGATTGATGACTAAATGAGTTCTGGTTGTGAAGAGCTAGGCAGAATGAAACAGTCGTATCATGCATAAATAAGTAGCTTGATAGTTGGAAGAGAGAAAAAAAAAACCATAACATTGAAGAGATAATGAGTTAACCTTATAGCTAATCTTCACTCTCAAACCTTGAAAATATCCTGAGAGCCAACAAGGCAAAAACCAAGGATCATACCCAGAAAATTGAAGGATGGATCTCCATACGACAGACTCGATATTTCAAGCTATGAGTTAAACCTGTTCAATGATGATTATGCTAATTGCCTGAGTGAGATCTGCTTCCACTGCAGTCTACCTTTAAGCATGCCTCACTAGTTTACATCAATTACTACTCTGGTTAACAAGAGTGACATTGAACATAATAGTAGGGTCAGAGCAAAAACGTGCGCGCACACACACAAACACGCACGCACGCACGCACAGATACATGAGCATTCATACCAAACATTTCAATTTGAAGAATGTAATGGAAGTAGCATCAAACAAGATAAACCCTAGTCACCTTAGCTCAAACGAGTAACAAGAAAAGCCTTTTAATCAAAGAAAGAGCCCATGTCTGTCATGTTCGCCGTAAACTATAAATAACATTAATCCAGAAGCAAAACACAATTTATCCCATCTCTGATAATGTCACCAATATTAGCTACTTATAAGAGATGAAAAGTACAAAATTAAGTATAGTCAAGTTGCAAAAGTAAAGCGTAAGTTCTTCTCTGTCTATGGGCTTGATACTGCTACAGAAATAATAAGTCCTCAGTGCTTTCCAGGAGTTCTCTATAAAGGACTTATCTACTACTCACACTACAAATATTTGGAGCTGTTATACAGGCAAATGCTCATTGAAAAGTATCTGAAATTGGTTTTTAAGATAAACTTGAATAGATTTCCTGTCGAGTATAAAAAATGGATAACCACAAGAGAATATGTAAGTATGTCAGTTTCCTGGTTAGACAACCAGATCAAAAAGGCAAGAAGAGAATAGATAAAACTAATCCAAATGCCTCTCCATAACACAGCTCCTCCATTATTTGGATTCTCTCCTATTTGGCACATGGCGCCTAAAGTAGATCCTAAAAGGGTAACTAGAAAAATAAGCACTTTTATTTCTTTAAAAAATTCTTAAGCAATTAAAAAAGGGACTGTTTTTCTTCTTCTTCTTTTTCCCTTTTCTAAACAAGCTTAAAGTACCTATCTGACAATGATATCTGACGTTTGAGCTTTCACGAATAGTATGAGTTTGCAGCTGCTCTGAAGATGCCGATCCAGTAGCAATTAATGCATCATAGTTAACGCCTTTGAAAGGCAATAGATACCACAAAAAAAATCTTGGCACAACATGTGATAGGAGGAAAGAGGCAACTACAGGTATTGGAGCTTTAAATAACACTAAAATAATATGCTAATATTTATTTCTATCGAACATCTTATTGGCTACTTAACTAATAAAGTACTGGTTCCCACCATTCTCAGTCTTCTTATCATACTCTCTTCAACCCATGGAGTTTCCACTCACCACGCCCAACACTTAAACTATCAAGGATGACAACAAAACCTGCTAGATCAACATAGTACCTTGTGTGCACATATAGTAGGTTGGTGAATAAACATACCCTACTTTCGTATCTTTTATGTTTTCCATTTTCTTTTTCCATAATCCCTTAACCACACATATAAGCAGCTGCATAGACGCATATGCATAAACACATGAATTCAAACATAAGAAATCACAAATGAGAAAAGGGAAATACTAGATACTTCCCCAGATTGTAAATGGATGAAGATACCTCAGATAGTAGTGGCAAACTGTGGCAGCCTCATCCAAAGTATAACGAGGAAACATGACACGAGCATCTTTGGGAACATCTGGAAGTTCTTGACGTAGCTTGCCCACGGCTGTTGAATGGGAGAAGGCTCCAACCATCATGTCATCATGCATCATAGATCTGAAAGCATTGACCTGTTGGGAAGAAGAAACAAATTGCAACTGTCATATATGCAGACACAAATAAGTGTTTGTTTCTAAAAAAGAACAGATTGTAGCATGGTTACAATATCACAGATAAATGAACTGAATAGTAAAAATGGACTTTTTGCTGCTATAGGAGGGAAGTTTCCTTCTCAGAGACATGGGTATAATACATGCAGCATAACATAAGATTTTACAGCTGCTTAAGAAGAAAACAGTATGTACATTTGTATATGATAATTCGAATTGTTCGTTCTCATCTACAAATTATCAACTCATACAGAGAGAGAATTTCATAGGCTAGAACTTTCTGATTTATGTATATCATAATCTCATAATGAATGGTTCGCAACGGTTTTGCAAACCAATTATCTTTTATTGTTGTAGGATAAAAATTTCAAATCTTGCAATTTTTTATTCAAATGGATTTTAAAATGTGTATAGTGAGCAATCTGGCTTGCCACATATGAATCTCTGCACGCATGCACGCACACAGATGTGCGTGTGTGCGTGTGCATCCCTGTATGCCAAAAATTTAGATACTTCCAATTTATATTACTCCTGTATTCAAGTAACACTACATAGCACTGTGAAGCCAAGTTCCCACAAGAAATCACCTCAGGCATACTACATCAAGACCTTGAAAATGTGATTTAGTTGGGATCTTTTTCCTTTAGTTTAAGCCACAAATAAATGCAATCCCATATAGCACACCTTGCATTGTACTCCTTAATTAGAAACTTTTTCACTGTCATAGTGAAACTTGCAAAGGTGTTCCTTACTGCCTTGCCTAATCTGCATTTAACCCATAACACAAGAAAGAAGGAAGATAAGGAAAAGTCTATTGCAGTTAGATGCAGGATTGATCAAGGACCAACATATCAAGGAGTCAATAAAAATCCTTTGTAGATTAGTTTGTGGACCTTTCTTAGTTTTCACATAAACCATATCAACTATTTAAACAGTATAAATAACAAAACAATACTTTCAAATTTAAGTGCACCATGTGTACATCCATTCATATCTTGCTCTCCAAGTATCATTTCGAAGTATTTAACTATCAGAACAGAAAGCAACTAAAAAAGTTTAAAAAATCAATAGCTAATATTATAAATTTATTATCTATATGCCTTCCAAATGAAATCGGAAAACCTTGAACCAAATCGGAATTATTGCTGACAATCTGTTCATGAAACAGATCCTAACTACACAATATATTATGCTGATAAATATTTGTAAATAACACCCTTCAAGCAATTGATTAGAATAACTAGATTACTTCATAACCATGTCTTCAACTAAGAGATTAATACATTTTAGTATCAGCTGATAGCCTGATAGCACCCATGCAGTGAGAAATAAAAAATTCTCTTACAAGAGCGAATCAATTAAAATTAGTGAAATCCTAGACTGTTTCAATAGCTCAGAAATTAGAACAGATAGCCCATGGAATAAAATTCTTGTGATGCTGAAAACTATGCAATATTTACAGAAACATACAAACTGTCACTAACCGTGGCGAGTTCCTTAGCATGAATTGGTCGGCAAGATCGTACAGTTACAGGTTCCCCATAGTCGCTGAATGTAAACCAGTTATTATACTGGAAAAAGAAGAAAAAAGAAGGAAAATGGAAAAAAAAAATTAGTTTGTGGATGCAGTGTTATATTAGATGAGACCTAGCTGTATAAGAAACTGGAGTCTGGATCATTGAAAACTTTTAACATGCCTGATCAATTGCAAACAGCACAGGAATATCTTTCACCAATGATAATTCCTTCCTCAAACGAACCAAGACCCCAACTGAAGCATGAGAGTAGGTAATGCCAGTTTGAACAAGCTCAAATAACATGGATCCTTCAGGCATTGCCATGGAATCAACCCCTTTCATCATTCCAACACCGGCACCTTCTCCCAAGGGAATAGGCTCAGAAATTTGACAAGGTAATTGTTGTAAGCGAGACTTGTTGAATTCCAGAAAATCCTAAATTTCAACACCAATATTGGAAACAACAGCTTAGAATCAGGGCTTTCTCTAGAAATACAGACCACCAAACAGGACATTCAAGATTCATATCACTATGCTATGTGGAAAAAGATGCCCAGATAAGAGAAAGGAAAAGCCAGCTTATATGCTGAATATGAAAAGAAAAGAAAAGAATGCAACAGATACGTCCACTTTTATCGACATTACAAAAATTTTTACAGTAAAAATAAAATTATGATTTAATACGACTTTAGAGTTCAGAAATCCTATCTGAAAAGTATCTCATTGTTACCTGATATGGTTATGATCCTCCTAAAGACAACTCTGCCTTCATCAATCTAATAATTAAAAGCATTTCTACCAGCATCCATTCGAAGTCCGTGCAACAAAACCATAAATTGAGAGATGTCAAAATGCCCTCATATGGAAACTTAGAAAAATGGAACCTTGCAGGTGATTTAAAAATTCCCTTTCCTCAAAGTTTATGTAGTTGCAAGTCTAACGAGAAAACCTAAGAATGGTCCACCTCTAGCATCCTAATTTAAACTTAACATGGGGTGACAGTAGATTTTCTCACGCATTGGAAGAAATGTATGGTGATGTGATCGATACTCAATTCATGAGTCTTATTATCAGGGCTCTTGCATTCATGGAATGTTCAATTACTTATCTCAAGCAAAAGAGGAAGACATATTAAACAAAAGATCTGCTTTAATAACTCCATAGGAAAAACAATACAACTGAACAAGACTGGTCATTCTTTCATCACAAATATTCAAATTTTCAACCTGAAGGGTCTTCGCAGCCTGTACAGGAGTATCCCAAAGATCAGTCACTGGATTTCTATAAAAGAATCCTCCATGGGTCCAATCTCTACCTTTTGGAACATAAAAGACCAGCCAGCCTTCACTACGAGCCCAGTGAACGAGCATAGCAAGAGCAATGCTTTTCCCACAGCTGACAGGACCGTCCAAAACTATTTGCTTCTTAACATTTAGACCTGCACAAATATATCAAGCCACATAAGTAATGGCTTATAAGTACAAATTAGCACTGGTTTCATGGGTTATCTATCATCAAATGCTTTGATTGCCAATTTCCACAGGACAATATTATTGTAGTATTAAATCTATAAGTTGAGTATCCACACCATGCTTTATCCAAATTACTGTAGGATGAACGTGAGATTGCAATTCACAAACATCAACACTCAGCTAGCAAATTCAAACACCAAGTACACATTATAATAAAATCAAAAGACTCACTTTTACCCCCAGCTCGAAGAGTAGGGTCCACAATCCTACGAAAATTATCCCTGAGATCAAGAAAGCTCTGCCTAATCATAACAGCACACCGCCTCGTCTCCTCGAACTCCTTCATCATTCCCGGTGGCAGCCCCTCTGGCAACATACTCTTCCACTCCTCCAAACTAACCAACAAATCCCAACAAAATCATCAAAAAAGGGGGGGAAATCCCAAAATGTCACAACATCGCACCTGTTTCTTTACTGTTTGGATTTGTATAGTTTACCTGAAATCAATGTAAGTGCCAGCGTTCTTGTGAGTAAGAGAAGCGAAGGAATCAGAGAAAGTGAACAAAGGCCGGCCATTGGGCCCCACGTCGAGAGAGGGATCGTACGTCGGCGGAAGAGGGTCACGTGCAAGCTCGAACTCGTCATCTATGCCGTCGGCGAAGGGTTCGCCGGAGGCGGAAGAGGAGAGGGGGTCATCGAAGCAGGAGAGCGGCGGCTCATCGGACGGCGGATGTCGTCTCATCTTTACCCTTTTGTTGTTGCGTGTGGGTGCGTGCGCGGCTGGCATCGTGGTCTTGCCTTTGCGATTTGGCTGTTTTCGAGGCGAAGTGGCGGTTGAGGAGAAGGGATGAGGAGAGAGGAGGATGGTCGGCGACAGCGTCGCCTACGTGCGGCGGTGGGGCGGCAAAGGCGACGGGTTCTGGCCGGAGGCCGTGCGGCGGATCGGAGTAAGGATCGCCGAGCATAGCCCGCGTCCTTACGGCCGTAGGGCTTAGCTATAGAGGGAGAAATGGGCACAAAAGCGAAATTGAGCCGGGGCTTCAGTTTAGATCCTTTAAGAACTGGGCCGGACTGGGCCGCTCAGGCTTGAAGTATATCGTTGATTCCTTGTAAATCAATATTTACTCACAAAAAAAAATATTTTAAGTTCATGAAACTCGATATGAACATAAAACAATCATGAAGTTCTCAGTTTTCTCACATTCTTTTTGATATGGTTTTCTTTTTTTTTAATGGTCCCATTATATGCACTAGATTTCTCATTTTAGTTTGCACTAGATTTCTCATTTTAGTTTCGAACACGCCCTCGAACTATATCATATCATATCATATCATATCTCATATCATATCATATCATATCATATCATACTCCCTATAAAAGAGGGAGTTGTGGAAAAACTTTCTAAGGACTATATTACCCCTATTCTCTTTTGATATTACATTCTAATACTAACTAAACTTAATTAATTATCATTGTTAATTAATTATATTATATGTCACTTTAAGTTTGCATAATTTTAAGTTTGCATAATTTGGTCTTTAGAACTTCCAACGTTATTATAAAACTCTACATCATATTAATTATTAGTAATGTATAATAATATATTAATAGATAATTGCATGTCAATAAAGTAGTTATGGAAATAATAGAAAACATAGAATTCTCCTAAAATTATACCACGAAACTCATATAGGAAAATTACATAGAGCATTCTTATATTTAGGTAACAAGACAGAAGGTACAATCATTAAATTTTAGAAAACATTAGGACATTTAAGCGCATCAAGATACATTATCTAAAATTTTTAAAAAAAAGTGTAGCAAGATACAAGTGGAGGTATATAAATATAAATTTGGTAAACTACAAGGTATTTAAGTTCAGTTAAGCCTAGAAAAGATTTGAAACATTTGTTATCTATAAACGATAGTATATGTTCTTATTGACAAATAATATTTATCACACAATATGAGGCCAGATGCTTAGCTTATATTTATATAGTAGAGGAGATGTGGAAAAATTAAAGCATCATATTTTGAATGAGTCTCAAGATTTTGAATTATTTCTTGAAATTATATACTTCGCTTAGAAAACTTTAGAAGAGACTTTTGAAGGATTACTACAAAGTGTTTGGCATCAAATAAATATTGAAAAACTAAATTCCATGATATCGGGTAGCAAAAATTAGGGATATGTATGTAAGACTGGGTGTCATATGAGTAAATATTCATACATAACATGACATTGTAATATATAATCTAACTTATTTATGAAGTTTAAACATAAGAATTTGCATCAAGATATATGTTTAAGATTTGGGGGAGCCTAGAGTGGAGATATTTGTGAGGAGAATTGTGGCCTTTGTGGGTTTTACAGGTTCTAATTTTATTTCCCAAACACGATCCAAACCCCAGCCCAAATTAAAAAATGTCATGATTTTCTCGATATCTTCAAAGGGATATATCGGCCATATTTTTTATAACGGTTGATTTATCAAAAAAGTCAACAAACAAAAGAAAATAATATAAAATATTAGCAAGATAAATTCTTTAACCCGATATATTGGCCGATATAGCAATATATTGGTCAATATTTAATAGATTGCCTATAAGAGCAAATATGTAAAGTTTATTTAGATATTAGTTCCTTGATTTTAAATATCTAATGATTCTATGTTATTCCCACAAATTTTTAAAATTGCTCATAATTTTAAGGACTAATATTAAATTATTAAAATTTTGAGGGACAAATTATAAATAAGCCATATTAAAAGAATTGTTAATTTTTAAAAAACCCTCTCAACTATGGGGATTGTCTTAAAAAAACCCACTCAACTGATTCAATTTGACAAAACCCCCTCATTATGTGAGGTGTTATAAATAACCCTTTCAATTTTGGTGCAATTTTAGAAAATATCTCTCAACTATAGCGTATCTCATAAAAACTCCCCTAATCTTTTACACTTCTATCAACAAACCCCCTTAACATAGTTACTTCGATATATGATTTGGAAAAAATACCCTCTTGAAGAAAGCAATTTTAGTTAAATAGAAACCATCAACCGACAATAAAAGGATCACAACCAATTTACAATTTTTTTCCTCTATATCACCTCTTTTATCTGGCAAAAGACAAGGTAATTCTTTTATGATTGATTGATATTTTGGTCTTTCCAAGTCAAGTACTTGTCACATAATAGATAAGATTTTATGATGTTAGTTTTGAGAGGTTAGGTTTAAGTGAGAAAAGTTCACTGAGGTTAAATCAAAATTTTTTAAGTTGAGATAGATTATATACAAAACTTGGCAGAGATTTACTCAACTTAAATAGTTTTCCCCGGGGGGAGGGGGGGTAGGGTTGTCATGCTCTTCATAGTTGAGGGGGAGTTTTCTAAAACTCAAAACTTGGCAGAGATTTACTCAACTTAAATAGTTTTCCCCGGGGGGAGGGGGGGTTAGGGTTGTCATGCTCTCCATAGTTGAGGGGGAGTTTTCTAAAACTAACTCTTAAACAAAAGCACAACTTAAGGCACATGTGATATCAATTTTATAAGAGTGGAGTTTATAGCAAGTCTATCACTCAATGAATTAGTTTGGGTTACCTGTCATTAAATTTATCCTACACATCATCAACTCTAAAAATCTTTTGCTATAAGAATCTCTAAGAGAAATTTAATATTTATTTAGGATGGGTATATGATCGTTCTGATTCCCCTTGTCTTTCATAATTTGTAATAAATTATTTGACAAAGTATATTAAGTTGTCATTTTATATTGCTCATATTCTTATAAGTTTTTGAAGCTCATAGCTTGGATATAACTATTATTGCAAATATTGTATTCTTCTAACTCCTTAAGCTAAATTTTTGAATGTTGTTTGACATTGGATAGATATAAATTATTTTATTAAAATTCAATCAATATGAGTGCATAATATGTACAAATCATTCTCAGACTATATTTTATAATTTTTTGAAACCAGAGAGTAATCATTTTGATAGATCAATTAGTATTTGGGAAGATATAAAAACAACATCAGATTTTGGAATTGATCACATAATTTATATTTTCTTTATTGATTGAATTTGCATATTCTAACTTAGAAAATTTTAGGAAAAAATTCTTGAATATTTATAATACTCGATCGCCAGATAAACAACAAGTGAAAGTAAACAACAGGTGAAAGTGGTTTTTTTTATAACTGAACAAAATCCTTAATGACTAGATAAAACCTACCATTTTCCTTAATGAACTCAAGAATTTATTTTTTTATTAATAATAATAGGTTTTTCCATATTGGTCCATTACATCATTAATATTTTGAAACTATACATTGAAATTACTATTTAATCTTAAATTATTAATATTTTAAGGCTTTAAACATCACTATTTTTCTGGAACACAAAATGTTAAAGTCACACATGAAAATATCCAAAAAAATTTAATATATTATAATAATTATAAAGTTTTTTATAACCATGTTATAGTAAATAAATAAACGTAAAGTAAATAATTATAATATTTGACTACGTGTAGGCACGTACCACGTGCAGTGCACGTGCATTCTACTTAGTCATACTCCCTTTAAAAGCATAAATTCGGGAAAATCTTTTCATGGTCAATATTACCCTTCATTATTTTGAATATTTATTTATATCTTAAATCTATCCTAATTATAATTATATCATATCCCAATCTTACGTGAACTATCTATAGCTCAACAATTTAAAAAATATTAATAAAATATATAAAATAGCTTTACGGTATTAGTTTGTTAAGATAAAGAAATTATATGTAGCTAATATACCATAATACATGAAGTATTGCAAAAAAACCTAAAAGTTTTAAAATTACACAATACCCTGAAAAGTTTAAAATTATAAAAAATATCCTAACATTTCAAAACTTAAAACAACAAATATTAATCAAGATATTAATAGCAGTCTATGAAGAATCTAAAATTTACAGTTAACACTTGAATGTCAAAAAAAATCATAGAAACACCCTCAAAAGTTTAAATTACAAATAAGCACCCTGAAATTCTAAAATTTCAAAATTTTCAAACAACATAAATGAATTCAAGGGATTACCATGATGCACCTGAAATTTTTTAACATTTCAAACTTAGAATAACAAACACAACATTAAGAAATTAACAACCACCTCTGAAAACTTTAAAATTTCCAATTAACACCTTCAATGTCTCAAAAATTATAGAAACACCCTCAAAGTTCAAAATAATACTGACATCAAGTTTGAAATTTATAATTTTTGAGACATTCCATATCAAGTTTAAAATAAGACATTCCATATCAAGTTTAAAATAAGACATTCCCTAGTCTCTTATGCATCGGGATAATATTCCAAATCGGAGGACGAT